CGAGATGGGGGGGGGGCAGAAGAGTGTTTCAAAGATGTAAAAAGACAGACACAAAGTTAGAAAAAAGATGAGGTGAGTACAGTGAAAGTAGTCGTATTTGACATACAGTGGGGTGAAGGTAGTTTGAAGTGAGAAGTCAATTGCCGGTTTATAGACTTGTTTGCCGTGTGAGCATACGTTGCCCAGGGTGCACCAAGTGGAGGTAAGTCTATCACGCACCCTGCAATAGGTAACGTAAGTACACAAAGTCCACTTCTTCTACTTTTCTACCTCGTCCGGTCAATATTGGGTGAAATGCTTTTACATTTCTAACTATTTATTGATTTCACGGAAAATTATTTAACACAACGCTAGTTGAACACTTTCGAAACTGATAGGCAGCAATTTGATAAGTATGGCCTTGTTTTAACTTATCTTTTACAGGATCTGATACATCACCTTAGTTGACCCTGTTTTCTTCTCTCGGTCATTCGGTTCACTTTAAGCTTCACTTAACAAACAACTACAAGACCGAACCGAATTTTCATCAATACGTAACAAAGTCCCCGCTTCTACAGTGGATATCTGAATTCTATGCTATTCTACCTGTTTGAAATGCAAACCCAAGATGAGTAGTTATTAGTAACACTTCCACGCAATTACGGAGTTTAAATTTCGCTTGTAGATCAAAAAGCTACCACGGTCAGATGGCTACTTCGATTGGAAATAACTTTACAACAGTATCAACAGGGCATGCTGGAATGAACTCTTCGTTGTCCCGGAAAGGACCCGAAACGGCTCCCCTTTATTTTTCTTGTAGAAATATTGACGGCAAAATGGGCATCTCTGTCGGCCTTCCCTCCGCAGGACACTTTTCACCTTCCACCGTGCACCCTATCCCCATGCCGATGGCTAATGGAGCTCGGTGACCACCGTGTTTCTGATAAATAGGAGTCAATTTATGCGTAGAATTGCATTGTCTTTATTTTCCTTTTGTAAATTGTTTGGCATGCGCTGTGCTTATATTTATGTAAATTAATAAATATAATATTAATTTAGTCTTTTATGGCTTTTGTCCGGTCACTTGTCAAATCGATGTAAGTAAAATTAGAATTTACATAGACCGTGGATGTCAATATAGGGCTGGCGATAGGAAGTGATAAGACAAAGTTAAAACCATTTCATATGCATTTCAGGTGTGCGTATAAAACGTACACTGCTATCGATCATTCCAAGGTGACATTAACGTTCAGGCATGAAAAACGCATATAGGGCAATATCTACCATAATTTGTTAGGATAGTAAAAGAGAGTGTGTGGATAGCAAAATATGAGTACATTCGAGTAAATTTATCTAAATGCAGGAAGCAAAGGAGAAGTAGGCTACGTTTCTACTCGGCTGATGTTAATGAATGTTCCCAATTCATCGTTCAGTAAAGAATATGTTTCACTAAAAGTCAAAATTTTAACCAAATTACTACTTCAACTTGTTTCCCCCAAGCTTTCCAAACGACACACTTGGCCTTATTAATTGATTAGGATATCCACAGTATACATTTTTTTATCTTTGCTCTAATTTAGATTCCAGAGAAAAAATAAAAATAGCAATGTAATTTGCAAGGATATTGGAGTAAATCTGCTTATGCTCTTAGTAAAATAAATCAATTTAGTTTCAACCTGAAAGTGATAGTGTGACTAGTTGAAAAATTGTATAAGAATAGTGGGTAATGAATTCGAACATGATTAATTTGAGAAATGTAACGTCACAAACTGAATCGCCAGCACACGTAAAGACAATAGCCAAGAAATGTCCAAAAACAACTTTATGTTTTACTATTGATTTAAGTTCAAATGAATAAAAATGCTCTTATCACTGGAAATTCAGACGACTGATTTAAATTGACGACTTCGATTCTTATCATATTATTGCAAACTACGCCACCTATATTAGAATTACAATAATAATTTTAGAATAAAATCATATTTGGCATTCCATTTTATTTAAAACAACTTAGTTAAAATATTTACTTTATCTTAGTCAAGACCCATGTGTTTGACTTTGGCTCCCTAGATAAATCCCCTGTCCTTGTAAGAAATCGGTTGAGATCACCAAAGTTGTATTTTGTTTTCGGACTATTGCAGGTTTTGTATTTATATTATTTTATCAAATTTACATTAAGTTTTTAATATATAACATTGTCCATAACGCATATTGACGTTTCACATGTTTAAACAGCGTGGTTGAATTAGATTGTTAACTTGAAAATTGCATTTGTTTGCTAATAATTTACTTCTTTTTTAGCCTATTTGGATACGTTTTATCAAACCTTGTCAGTATTTATACAATATTATAATTATACGAAAATGGGAAATATTATTAGACTACTTACTAGCCACTTTGATGATAGTAAAGATGACGTTGATATATTCGTTGATTTCGAAAGTAAGTTCTTTTTTCACTATTACTGGTTAATTAGATTGTCGTCCATCGGATGAGGAATATGACCTTTGGGTTGAAATAAATACTAAACTCTCCCATACTGATGATATACTTGAGATAGTTCGAAATTATCCTGGAGCAGCCAATCAAATTCGTGCTGCCATTGAACATTATACTGACGAAGCTGCCCAAGAGGCGGCCTGGCAGGCTCTTATTCCACTTGTTCATCAGCTTCGCATCTGCTATGACTTTGGTGTTTATTTGGGTAAGTCTGTAATGATTGTCATTTTTTGGTTACAACCATTTATGATACAAGGTTATCAGTGGCGTTATTCTACATTTGCCTAAGCTGATTATCGATATTACTTTTAATAATTTCCTCAATGGTAGTGCTTTTTGGAGTTAGTTGCATTACCAAGGAAAAACCCCCTTATTTTTCCGTTTTCAAGTAGACGTGGGATTTGTTATGCATTCAATTCAACTTATTTGTAGGAAATGACGTTTTAATTGTCAATCGCTTTCGATTAATCTTTGAGTATTACGCCCGTTCTGGATGTTTTGTATAAGATTGCCTTTCTTGGTTACGGCTTTTCTTTTTCCTCGAATACAATTCTTTGAGAGATTGTAGTTCTACTGCGAGCCTACTTTCCTTGCTAACGCAAATTTTCAGCTAGTTTTTTGGCATTCTATTTTGTTTGACTGATAGCAGTACTGGAAAATTTGTTTTTCACTTATTTTAATAGCCTCCCTGTAGCAACGCTTTATTGGCATATTTTAATTTAAATTGGGCTGTTCTCTATTCTGCATTAATTCGGTTGAATTAGTTATTAATCATGCTTGATAGTATTGCATTAGACAATGTTTTAGCTCGACTGTTAATTGAATCGGAATTATTTAAACCTCCTTTTTTTGATAATTAATTGGCAAAATAGAAATTGTCTGATTTTTGGTTTTCTTTTAGCTCAAACCGTTCCCCGACTTTTGCATGCCCTCTGTTCGGACGAGCTGACTGTATGGGAACATCTTGAAACTCAACAGGCTCTTTTCAAGCAATTTGCGGAAATACTCGATTTCATTATGCAGTTTGATAACTTAAAAGTGAGCATTTTTTTAGTTTTTACTCTCGATGTTTCTTTATGCCATATACGTCTTTTTTTCATGAACTATTACCCATTAATGGGATTTCCAATCTAGGTAGAGTATAGCAGCAGCGATTGGCAGATAATTTTTGATGCTAGTTTTATTGTTTGCATCTAGTTGACCAATCAGCAGCATTTTCAATCGCGTAAAAGATTCGGATGTATTATTGGGTTGCTTTGACTGAAATCTGCCATTTACTTCAACTTCGCAGGGGTTATTTTTCTATTACGGTTTAATTACGTTAGATCTGAACGCCTTATATCATTATCTAGGGTTTAGGTGTCTTTTGTGTAAATTAACAAGACGTTGATTTTGTAAACAAGCAAGCAGAGTCCTCATGCCATAGTCTATTTCCACTTAGTTGGTTACGGTTGTAATTTTGAACTGTGTCATTTAATTAACACTAGTTAGCGTATTCATTCAACAGAGCGATTTAAAAGTGCATCTCACTATTCCCATTTGCATCCCGTGTTTTTTTCTATACAATTTCGCTTTCTCGCACGCCTATTCGGTCGTTTTTTAACGTAGTTTATTGTTTAACCCCCCCTCCCTCCCCTCCCCCCCCCCTACTTCTTTCAAGTTATTACGCTCAAGAGTTCGCCTCTGCCTTTTCCTCTTACTAATGCGATTTATTCGGTGAAACAAATTTCTTCACTTTACTTAGAAATGAGACATTCTTCAGGGAGACCCCTAGAACGCAAGATTCAACTGGAGTTCTCTTTTTAATCAATTACAATTAGATTACTATAATGTTTCTTTAATTACTTTTACTGTGTGTGCGCGTTTTGGTACATAATGTGCTGAAATGCAAATGGAAGGCATAATTCGGGCAAGTTGAAGAGCTTCACCTAATTCCAACCCACAGCTCATTTTCTTTGGTAAGGTTTTCACCACTCTTTTCGTGAGATCTTTTATGTTTTCAATATAGTTCTAGCGCGTGCAAGTGCGTAGCTTTTTTTATGGGCATTTCTTTTCACGTGTGACATCGACTCACCCTTGGAGGAAAATCCAGGTCTACACCCGCCCCCTGGTTATATTTTTGTGGAATAAATTAATAAGAGAGAGGCAATAGCATAGGGAAACCGGAGCCAAGGCTGACTCGCAAACTCCAATCGGCTTGTGACTTGATTGCTTTAGCATAGTGTGGCGCAGAGCTGACTCAGTTTCTCTTGCAGGTAATGAGGAGAGAGAGGGTGAGGCGAGAGAAAGGAGGAGGAGGTAGAGAACTAAGATGAGAAGACCGTCAGTAGGTATTCTTTCTCGTTCACGAAAATTAAGCTGTTAAATGCACAGTGTTTATCTCCTAAACGATGAGATTTTCTTGCCAGGTGGTTGCTGTCTTATTTTGTTTTGTGCTAATGAGAAAATTCGCACTTTTGACACCGTTGTTATGACTGATCTATTCCTGCAAGAGTAGTTAAGTTAAGGAATCTAAGGCCTAAGGAAATTGTAACTTATTTGTTTACGCAAATCGATCAAATATTCTATTGTTTTTTTTCCCAAGCGCCAGGCCTTTTGATAGTTATCATTGGTCCTTTAGTTGACTTCGGGCTTCACAAAGGCATAGAAAAAGGTATGATGAGTACTGTGAAGGGGTCGAATATGACGTACAGTTAGGTCAGAGCAGTTTGAAGTCAGAAGTCAACTGCCGATNTATTTGTTTACGCAAATCGATCAAATATTCTATTGTTTTTTTTCCCAAGCGCCAGGCCTTTTGATAGTTATCATTGGTCCTTTAGTTGACTTCGGGCTTCACAGAGGGGTGGAACGTCAAAGTCATAAAATGTGGGGGGGGGGGACAGAGGAGTGATTCGGAGATGCAAATAGACTGACAGACAAACAGGCAGAGATAAAGGGGTGGTGAGATGAGTACTGTGAAAGTGGTTGATTGTGGCATACAGTGGGCTCATAGTAGTTTGAGGTAACCTGCATACTTATGAGTATACGTTGCCCAGGTTGCACCACGTGGAAATAAGCCTATCGCGCATCCCTTATTAGTTACCATATGTGTACTAATTTGATTTTTCCATTTTAACCCCTCGCCTTCTCAATTTCTCCTGGTTTTACCTGAATTAACTTCAAATTGGTACTGTTTGCCTGCGTTACTAATTTGGAAATTACTTGAAATGTGGCAATGATTGCATTTTTTTCCCATTGCTCACTTAGAAAGTATTACATTCAGTTAAGTAGGTCATGACGTCCACTTCGTGGGGGGGGGGGGGGGGGGGGGGAGCATTTCGTTTTCCAATTGGAATAGAGCCAGCCTCTTGTCCATGTGGGTATTGTAATTTGCAGCCCATGTAGAGATATGCAATGTTGTCGTGACGCTGTCGTCTTTATGGTCAATTAATTGCACCTCGTCTAGTTAACCATAAGAGATTGAATGCTTAAAAGGTAATGCCGATTTCTGTCAGTTGGTGAAATCTCGGATAATGTATTTATCCTGATTGCGTTATTAGAATAGCCATTTGCAGGGGTGAAACGATGTCTCTGTGTTTATGTGTATGTCTACGTATGTGACGTTTTGTATGTGTGGCTAAGACGTCATTGGCTCGTAATTGAAGAAATAAATGCACGTTTGAGTTAAGAGCACCAACTCGAATTTCTCTTCGGCAAATTCCTCTGGTGCTCTAGACTCCCTCGGAGCAATCAAAATTTGCATTTTTAATTTTAATGAATAAATTCCCAATTTAAGGATGAATGTTGGCCATGCTCAGTTATTCCTTGTTTTTTTTGCAGCAATCGTCGAGAGCTAGCTTACGTGTTTTACTAATAGCTGTGTCACTATTCGTATAATCTAGACTATCAATACAACCTTCTCGAATGGCCACTGTAGTTGTGCCATAGCACGAGGTTGATCAAACTCACTTTAAGAAATCAAGTAGTAGTAGTAGTATATGAATTAGTGGGAACCCGGAGCTCGATAACCAATTGGGCAAGGGTTGAAACCATCCCTTAAGTAGCCTACGAAAGCCAGGGCACGATAATATCATGGAATTGTCTTATCGACAACCATTAATATTTATTTATATCAAATGGCAGACGTTTTGATAGTTATCATTAGCCCTTTAGTTGACTTCAGGCTTCACAGAGGGGAGGAGGAACATCAAATTGAAAAAAAGTCGAGATGGGGGGGGGGAGGAACAGAAGAGTGTTTCAAAGATGTAAGAGACAAGCACAAAGGTAGAACAAATGTGAAAATAGTCGAATATGACATAGAGTGAGGTGATGGCAATTTGAAGTGAGAAGTCAACTGCCAGTTAATAGACTTTTTTGCCATTTGAATATACGTTGCCCATTGTGGACCACGTGGAGGTAAGCCTATCGCACACCCCGCAACCTTTAATATAAATTATGGCAACGTGACGACTCATAATTTTGGGATGTTTTGACAAACGTGCCGTTTTTTAAGGGGAGGGGGTAGTCAAGGTTCATGATTAATTTCATTTTCCTTGCATTTTATTCAACGTCATCAATCACGTGAGTGGAGAATATTCCCTGTGATTGCCTGGTCGTAAGCCCACCTAACTGATTGAAATTGGGAATGCACGTCAATCCTAGATTCTGCAGTGTCGTTTATTCTACTTTGGAACCTTTCCTAGTGCACTTAGGTGACAGC